TCACCTCTGTGTTTTTTATTTTTTGCACTATAAGCAAAAAAAGATCGACAATTTTGATAAAAAACACTACCTTGAACTTTTTGCTATTAAACATGTCCAATAAAAAATTTAAAAAAATCTAATTTCGTCATAAATTTAGGCCATATATGATTCAACCCGCTGATTTCTGATCTTGATCTCTGAGTGCAGGAGGTTTTGTTTCTGTTTCCACTAATATATATACAGCAACATGAGAAATGGAATTGGCAAAAAAAAAAAACATATTAGCACATAGGGTTTACAGTTGGTAAAAAATATATGTATACAGCAGCAATCAGGATATACAGTTGATAATAAGATAATAAGCAAAATGACACATACACTTTATACTAGGTAAGGTATTGCCTTAAGATGGCCATAGATGGATTGTAATTCAGCTAGTTCATCAGGGATCAGCCAAATTCCGATTCATCTTTGGCCAGCTGTAAAATTTTAGTTTGATCAGCACCGCAGCCAATAGGCTGCAGCGCTGATCAGTGTATTCCAACAGCAGAGGAGTCCAGTTGACTCCTCTGCTGTCAGAATATGAATGATAGAGTGGGGAGGATTCCTGTATCCTCCTCAAATGTGTGGTTGAGGGTAGCTGGGCAACATGTTGGGGCCCAGATCCAGCGTTGGATCGCTCAAGATTAGTGCCTCCTAACTTGGGTATATGTAATTGCCTTGTGTCCCATGCAAACAATACTGTTCCACTTTAATGGGGTGCAGTAGAGTTTTGCCAGCAACCTCTCACCAACTCCTGGGGTGACAGCTGGTCTCCCTCTGTTCTCTTTGACAGCTCAGCAAAGTCAGCAGCAGCAGTGCTCTCTCCAATCATCACTGGTCAACAACAGTGGCAGCATTCTCACGTACAAGTTGATGTCCACTACTCTGCCTCACTGTGTCCCCGATGCGATGGTGAAATGTTCTGCTAACACCATGCAATACAGACTGTCTTCTACAATGTCCTCACCACATCTGCCTCAAGCCCAGGAACAGACTTTCTTTTTGCTCTCCACAGAGCCCCGGTCATGCTGGTATGTGTAGTTCCATTGCTAATTTGTAATACAGGCTTTCTGGGGACTACATCTCCCACACCTCATAGCTTCACCCAGCAGGCTCTGTCCTTCCAACAATCCATAGCAGCTCAGTTTCCTCTTCCTTTCTGTAATTCTTGGTGATGGGCGGGGCTTTCCTCTACATCTCTCTGTGGCTGCATACAGCCCTGCAGCTTGAGAGGAGAGGAAGTTCAGGAAAGCAGCTGTGATTGCAGGCTAGTCCCCACTGCCAGACAGAGCAGCACTATGGACCAGAGGCTTCACAACCTTCAGGAATAGGCCATATCACACTAGTAATTAAATAATACTGTCCATGGAATGATTAGAATTTATCATAGTAAATGTAAGCTGCAAGACTCAAAACCAAAGAAAGTCTGGAACATTAGCTGCAGAGTAAAGCTGGCCATACACAGATTTTCATATGAATGTTCATAGAACTATCGTTCGTCAGTCCCAGATGTATTAAACAGTCCCATTGATGCCAATTGGTCACAGTCGCTGCTCCCAATTTGATATACATTTTTGCTCAAACGTTTGCACATCTTGACAGAAATCGTGAAATGTTGGCATTGATATGGAAAATATGACTGATTATGCCAAAAACCTGTCTTTTATTTAAGGATAGTGATCATATGAAGCCATTTATTATCACATAGTTGTTTGGCTCCTTTTTAAATCGTAGTGATAACAGAAATCACCCAAATGACCCGGATCAAAAGTTTACATCCCCTGGAATGTTTGGCCTTGGTACACAAGGTGACACACACAGGTTAAAATGGCAATAAAGTTTAATTTCCCATATCTGTGGGTTTTTAAATTGCAATTAGTGTCAGTGTATAAATAGTCAGTGAGTTTGTTATCTCTCATGTGGATGCACTAAGCAGGCTAGATACTGAGCCATGGGGAACAGAAAAGAACTGTAAAAAAGACTATGTAACAAGGTAATGGAACTTTATAAAGATGGAAAAGGATATAAAAAAGATATCCAAAGCCTTGAATATGCCAGTCAATATTATTCAATTAAAGAAGTGAAAAATTTGTGAATCTCTTGATACCAAGCCAAGGTGAAGTAGACCAAAAAGGATTGTAGCCACAACAGCCAAAACCCATAGGTAACCTCAGGAGAAATACAGGCTGCTCTGAAAGAAGATGGTGTGGTTGTTTCAAGGAGCACAATATGACAATACTTGAACAAAAATGAGAAACTCTGCCAATGCCACCAAAAAGCCCAGTTACTGACAGCACCTTGACACGCTCCACTGAGCTTTTCTGTGGCATTGGCGCAGTTACAATTTAAAAAGTCACAGATGTGAGATATTAACCTTTAATTGCCATTTTAACCTGTGTGTGTCACCTTGCGTGTCTGTACCAAGGCCAAACATTCCAGGGGATATAAACTGATCCGGGCCATTTGGGTGATTTCTGTTATCATTATGAAAGGAGCCAAACAACTGTGTGATAATAAATGGCTTCATAGGGTCACTATCCTTACATAAAAGACAGTTTTTTGGCATGATCAGTCATATTTTCAATATCAATACCAAAATTTCACTCTTTCTGCTGTGGATATGCAAACGTTTGAGCACAACTGTACATGTGAGTGCAGGTACAGGCCCCCAAACCCATACTAATAAAAAGGAAGGGTCAAGAGGCGCCATGAATTCAACGTATCGCTGAATGTATATTATCTGCCAAGTAACCAAAAAAACCAGATTCACAAAAAAAGTGGTTACATCATGAACAGAAAGCGAAACTCAAAAGTTCCTCAAAAAGTATGCTTTGTTACAAAGATTGAATATGTAGACATTTAGATAAATACCTCAGTTAGCCATCACCACAAGATGAGACAATACAACAGAGTATGACCTAAAACCAGGTTAACCAATTCAATACCGGGCAATTTTACACCTTCCTGCCCAGGCCAGTTTTCAGGTTTCAGCGCTCTCACACTTTGAATGACAATTGCGCGGTCATACAACATTGTACCCAAACTAAAATTTTATCATTTTCTTCACAAAACTAGAGCTTTCTTTTGGTGGTATTTAATCGGGGGTTTTTATTTTTTGCTAAATTAACAAAAAAGACCAAAAATTTTGAAAAAAAAATGTTTTTCTTTGTTTTCTGTTATAAAAGTTTGCAAATAAATAATTGTTCTTCATAAATTTAGGTCGAGATGTATTCTGCTACATGTCTTTGGTGAAAATAACCCAAATTAGGATGTATTTTTTAGTTTGTAGGAAAGTTATAGAGTTCACAAACTATGGTATAGATCTGAATATTGATCAATCCTGAAGTACTGACAGCCAATCTAATTTCTTGAGGTCCAAAAATGTCAGAACAGTACAGATATCCCCCAAATGACCCCTTTTTGCAAAGTAGACAGTCCGACGTACTTCATAAGAGGCATGGCGAGTTTTTTGAAGTTGTATTTTTTTTGTCATAATTTTTGCGGGAAAATGAAAAAAAAATTAAAAAAATTAGTTTCACTATTTTTTTTTTTACATATTGTCACCAGTGCAGTACAGCATCATCATATAACTGGCATGGCGGTGATCAGGGACACTGACTGGTGACAATATGAAAAAAAAATTTTTTTTTTTTTTTTTATTATTATTTTTTATTAATTTTTTTTTTTCTTTTTTTTAGGATTTTTTTTTCATATTTGACCACCAAAGTAGTACAATGTTACCATAGTAGGGGATGTGTTCAAAAAATTGTGCCATAAGGCAAAACATCAGAAATGCAATACTGCATATAACAAATACATTAGTACCAATAATGGATGAATTCAGGAACCCAATACTAAACCTAAACATTCAATTCAGGAAAATAGTCAGAGACTTGAGGCAATATAATTGCAATTCTACTGACCGTGCGACACACAGAATTAAGTAATAATCCACAATAGGCACCATCGAGCAAAATGAGTGGTATGATCTTAAATGAAGACAGTCATGTCCAGAGTGATGGAATAGAATAAACTTTGTGACCATAGTAATATCACCATATAGCATCCGCCATCTATAGTTGAAGTGGCAGGGCCTTGCCAATGAAATATAGGGATTCTTCACCGCCAGCGTGCGGGCTATATAACTCCCTTATTAAGAATCTGTGATGTAGAATGTAGGGATATCCATGCCGTATGATAAAAGTAGGGTGCTGTACACCTTTCAGGAAATGTAGCATGATGTCCCCATCCTGTAGGGAATAAGTGATACAAAGAGAGTCAATAAGGTTGTCACCAGTGGTGTATTTAGGTTTTGTGCTGCCCTAGGCAACACAAAAATTGGACGCCACCCCCCCCCCCCCCATCCCCGGGAGAGAGCCTGACATTGACCAACAACACCCCTGCCCCCCCACATGAGGGAGCCTTCCACTAACACACATCCCCTCCTGGCGAGAGAAGGAGAGACACTCACTTTCACAGCTCCGGACATCCCTGGGAACCAGAGTCGGGCTCTCTATACACCATCGAGCAGCCCGCAGCCTCTCTTGGATCCCACCTGGTCCCCATGCCACATGTGTCCCTTCTTCTGTCCTTTCGTCTGGTGGGACATTACTGCCCCCATGAAAAATGCCCCCCTAGGTAAATGCCTTGTTTGCCTTGTGGTAAATACACCCCTGGTTGTCACTCAGGGTATCAAGACTGTAACGGCATGTGCTGCCCTCTTATATTAGCGATGTTCCATTCACCACCAGTACCAGACTCACACTGCCTACATTGCCATTCACTTGCACCCACACAGATGTCAAATTGGGAGCAGTGGCTGTGCATCCCCGTGTTGGTAAACACGGCCTCCCATGAGTGTATGCTGTAGTATGCCCCATGTAAATGAGGTACAAAAAAATAATACAAAGAGTTAGAAGATAATCTTTTAAAAAACACATTCAGTGTTAAATACCATTCTAAGATCTCTTCTACACTGGAGACTGTGCTGCTAGAGACAATTGCTGTCAGAATCACTAATATACAACAGTCCTTCAAGCGTGAAGTGACACCTTACAAGCAGGGGTGGACTGACAACTCATGGGGCCCCCGGGCAATAGGGGATCATGGGCCCCTGTGTCCTCACCCACACTCAAACCACACCCAAAAAAGTCTATGAAAGGTACCAGGGGCATCTCATGGGGCCCCCTACTGACCCCAGGCCCTCGGGCAGTGCCCGAGTTCCCAAATGGTCAGTCCACCCCTGCTCACAAGTGTAATGCCACAGTAGAAGGTAGAGCAGTTGAGTATTGAGCTGGTCATACATATATACATTTTTTATTACTTAGCTGGAGGGCTGAACGGAAGAAATCTAACAGATTCCTCCATCAACACTGTACAGCACAGATGGATGATTCTCCTGATACCGCTTTTGTATTCAGACAGCCAACTCTGCCAGCTGTCACAATAAACGAACAGTTCCTGCATCTGATTGGATGCAGCAGCTGTTCGACCAACAGTTTTTCTACCTTTTTCAACTGGAGGAGGGTGCCGACAGGGCCATCTATGGAGTAAGTTTTAGCCGATCAGCTGTAGTGATTCAGTCATAGTTGAGTTATCTCCATTGACAGAATCACTAGTGTTACATAGATCTCAGAATGGCTATAAAATGGAATCTCCCTAAAAACAATGGGCAGGAAGATCTTTTCTATTCTGGACAGCTGGGACCACCCAAAGTATCACCAGATAGTGCAGCAATGGGCAAACTACGGCCCGGCGGACCTTTTAATCCGGCCCGCGGAGCTAGGCTCCTCTCACAGTCCGCCCTGAAGACCGGTGTAGCATGAAAATCTGTCTCCTATGAGGATCTGTCCCCTCGACGTATCTGCGCATGTGCCGGAGATCGCCGATTGGCTGCTAATGCCTGAAACTGGCACATGCGCAGATACGTCAAGGGGGACAGATCCTCATAAGAGACAGATTTTCATGCTACACCGGAACGGCGCGGGAACACGGCGAGAGGAACGCGCGGAGCAAAGGTAAGTGAATTGACACAGGGGGGACTTGGGGACCTAATATGGGGGATGAATTAATATGGGGAATGAATTACTATAGGGGGGATGAATTACTATGGGGGATGAATTACTATGGGGGATGAATTACTACATGGGGGATGAATTACTATGGGGGATGAATTACTATATGGGGGATTAATTACTATGGGGGATTAATTACTATATGGGGGATGAATTACTATATGGGGGGATGAATTACTATGGGGGATGAATTACTATATATGGGGGATGAATTACTATAGGGGGGATGAATTACTATGGGGGATGAATTATTATATGGGGGATGAATTACTATGGGGGATGAATTACTATGTGGGGGATGAATTACTATGTGGGGGATGAATTACTATGGGGGGGATGAATTACTATATGGGGGATGAATTACTATGGGGGATGAATTACTATATGGGGGATGAATTACTATATGGGGGATGAATTACTATGTGGGGGATGAATTACTATGGGGGATGAATTACTATATGGGGGATGAATTACTATATGGGGGGTGAATTACTATATGGGGGATGAATTACTATGGGGGATGAAATTACTATATGGGGGATGAATTACTATGGGGGATGAAATTACTATGGGGGATGAATTACTATGGGGGATCCCCATAGTATCCCCCATATGGGGGATGGATTACTATATGGGGATGAATTACTATGGGGGATGAATTACTATATGGGGGATGAATTACTATAGGGGATGAATTACTATATGGGGGATGAATTACTATATGGGGGATTAATTACTATGCTTACTATGGGGGAATATTACTATACTTACTATGGATGACACATACACATCATTCATCTACTCTTGGTCCGGCCCCCGGGTCCAATATATGAAACCCATTGCGGCCCTCAAGTCAAAAAGTTTGCCCACCCCTGAGATAGTGCCTGTACAAGCTTATGAATTCCTCATGATATAAATGTTCCCCTCTGTTCAGCATAAGGTTCTGAGACCACAGGGGTTCCTGGTGATTAGCTGTCAGTGGAAGCCCCATTGAAAGCAATGGGAGGCTGACAGCTTACCGCAAACACTCAAATGTAATCACACGTGGAGCGATTACCTGCGAATGATCGGCCCTGAATGCAGACTAGTGTTTATGTATCTTGTGAGCTGCCTATGGATACTTTTCTTGTATACAGATGCCAGCACTGTAACACACTCCCATATACTATGTGCAAAGTTCAAACCAATTCAATAGTCAGTGCCGTGGTGTCCTAAATTATCTAGAAAACAATAATGTAACAAGTCCAATTAGTCCTCCAATAATTGTCTTTAACTGCTTAAGGACCACCCTGTAGCAGATATACTGCTACAGGGCTGCACCTGTGCACAGAATCACGTATATATACATCATTTTGCATTCCCGGGTAAGCCGAGGATGTCAATTTCCATGTCCCAGACAGTAATTACCCGCTGGTGCCGGTGATACCGAGCATCTCCGTTGGGGAGGAAGATTGTTTTGTTTACAAACAGTCTTCCTCCCTGTCAGCTCAAGCACACTGCTCGGGATTGCTGTGCACAGTACAGCCATCCCAATCAGTGTGCTTACAGTGAAGAACACACCCCCGCCCCTTAGTAAAACACTCCCAGCACACAGTTAACCCGTTGATCACCCCTCACATTAACCCCTTTCTGCTCAGTGCCATTAGTACAGTGTCATTGCTTTTTTTCAGCACTGATCACTGTATTGGTGTCACTGGGGTGTTAGTGACACCAAGTTAGTTCCCCCCAGTGTCAGAATGTCCACCGCAGTCCCACTAATAGTTGCTGATCGCCACCATTACTAGTAGAAAAAAATGCCATTATCTATACAGCCATTTGTAAACGCTATAATTTTCAGGTAAACCAATTAATTTACAGGTATTGGCATTTTTTTTTTAGCAAAGACATGTAGCAGAATACATCTTGGCCTAAATTTATGACAAAATTAGATTTTTTAATTTTTTTTTTTACTGGACATGTAATTTTTAAATAGCAAAAAGTTCAAAAAATATTGTTTTTTTATCAAAATTGTCGGTCTTTTTTTGCTTATAGCACAAAAAATAAAAAACACAGAGGTGATCAAATACCACCGAAAGAAAGCTCAATTCATGGGAAAAAAAGGACGTAAATTTCATTTGGGTGCAGCATTGCATGACCACGCAATTGTCAGTTAAATATAACGCAGCGCTGCAACGCAAAAAATAGAAAGGAAGGGGGGTAAGTCCTCTGGGGGGCAAGTGGGTAAAATCCTATTGTGTTGTGTGAATGACCTCTTCTGTGCTTCCTCGTATAGTATGGTTGCACTCTCACTTCAGCTCCTTGACAGTTATGGTCATATATCGCTTTACATCATGCGTATCTTCCTTTGGTGCCTCCAATATATTTGAATTAGGTTGTACTGTGTTGTGTACTTCAACTGCTCATTTGTTCCAATTACATCTGAAAAAATAAAAATGCTATGTGGTACTTTATCCTTAAAATAATATAGTGCTCTTAATGAATGCTACTCAGATAACTAAATAAATAAATAAAAAAAATTTATGTATTTTTATATTTGTGTATAAGTTCACTTTATTTCACTGAAAATTCTGTGCCTGAAAATTTTTTGGTCCTTATTTTGACAGTTGGAGTTGGCACATCTTTGACAACTATGAATGACTGAACCAGGGGCGGACTGACCATTTAGAAACTTGGGCACTACCCGACGAGGGCCCAGGGTCAGTAGGGGGCCCCATGAGATGCCCCTGGTATGTTTTTTCATAGGCTTTTTTGAGTTTGGGCAAGGACACAGGGGCCCCATGATCCCCTATTGCCTGGGGGCCCCATAAGTTGTCAGTCCACCCCTGGACTGAACGTAAAGGTCTTGTGTCCATTCACATAAGACTTCCTCTGATCCATCATGTTTAGGTCCAAATCTGAATGGACTAATGTTCGTTTATACCCACCTGCCCATAGATTTCATGGAGCTCCCAGTCAGGTCCACCTGAAAAACTGACAGGTGAACCTGATTCAAAAGTCTGTGTGAAAGGGGCCTAAAGGTGAGAATACACGATAAGAAAATCGACCGATTGGCCATCCGACGACTAAGAGGTGTTCGTTGGTTGGTTGAAATCGTGGCCCACATTAACCAATCTAAAAAAAAAATCGTTTGGGCAAGATGTCGTGTTAACGTCTTCCATACAAATGGAAGTGATGCAGTGTACATGTGACCTTGTAGCCACGTCCTTCCGGCCAGAACAAGCGATATACACAACAATTACCAGCAATGAGTATAATAAAGTTTATTACATGACCTATATACATAAAGTGATACATAAAATATAATATGCAGAATTCTGGTTTCATTCTCTCATTAGGCCAATCTACTTTTAACATTTGGACTTTTTTGTTCGTGTATATTATTATTATTATTATTATTATTATACAGGATTTATATAGCGCCAACAGTTTGCTCAGCGCTTTACAATATAACGGAAGACAACACACAGCAACAATACAGTTCAATACAAGAGGGTCAGGAGGGCCCTGCTCCTTGGAGCTTACAATGTTTATGAAGATTCCTTGGACATAAACATCCGGGTCATCTTCTGTTTCCGCTCGTGCGTGATAGCGCTTGATAGATTTTTTTTGTACGGCTGTCATACCACCGCATAGAAAATTGGTAGTTCGTATGCGAAACGACAACATTTTTCACTGTTGTTCAACCAGATTTTTTCGTTCACAATATCGTTATCGGTTAAAACATCCTGCTCATCAACAAAGAGAAAATCGTTCGATCAGTGGTTCCACAAAACTTTTCATACGATTTTCTTATCGTGTACGGGGCATGAGATGGACTAAACTTTTTTTTTAAATTAAATTTCAGGTGCTGATGGAACCCTTGGAGGTTATAGCATGAAACATAAGGAGATCCCTGACTAGATTGTTTTCTTGTCTGTGTGACTTTTAGCTGTATCTCCAGAGCTCTATCAGAGCCCACAAATACATCACACATTCATATCTGGATGGAAATCATTACCAATGATGTATAACTAGAAATGCCATTTATCTCAATTTCCATCACTTTGACCACACATTGCTTCACTGCGAAAAAAAAACTATCAAAGATTTTTACCTCTTACAATATGCCTCCCGTGTGTTCCGCATAGGAAATAACTGGAATGACCTAAGCCCTGGTCAACTTACGGTAAGTCCATT